TAGCAATTTAGCAGCAAAGGGAGAAGCTGAAATTAAGCAGAAGGCAGCAAGTCCAGCCCTGAGCAGCCACAGGTCAGGGTCAGGACCCTTCAATTAGAAGCTGAGCTGCGACACCCTGCCCACGAGCAGGGCAGGCTGACGGGAAGCACCGAGGGCCAGCGCTCCCAAGTCTGGCGGTGGCTTTCCATCAGGTTCCTGGCTGAACCCCACTGAGAAGATAACAAGAAACAAAAAAAGGAGAGTTGAAGGGGGATGCTATCATCATTTCCAGCAAGCTGTCAGACTGCTGTTCCACTAAATGAACGGTTGGGAAGCTTGCAGACAATTGGACATTATGATTCTTCGAACAACTCAAAATAAATGCATGCTCTCGAGGAGGTTTGCTTCCCCTGTTTGGTAATTTTCAGCAGCTCTCTTTGTATCCTGTATAATAGCAGCATGCCAAGAACATAAAGGCTTTCATTTGTGTTAACTGCAGCAGCAATAGCTCTTGCTGAAGCTGCAGCCACATCTCCCACCCTCACATGTTTTTGAAACACCGGGATGTAGCACAGCCTCCCTCCCCTTCCCACCAGGATAGGAAATGCTCAACTTCAATTATTTAGTTGATATTTCAATTCAGCATAGTTTTCCAATTATGAAAGCCTCAGTTAGTAAGCAAGATAATTCAATAACACTTCAAAAAGGAGCTGTCTAGGATAAAGCTAAAGGAGAAACAAATGCAGCTCGTTGTGCCAAGATGACAACAGCAGGTGACCGCAGTAAAACGCAGCAAGGAGCCCAAGAGCACCTCACTCACAAGCTCACTCCAGCAAAGCCTTACCGTGTCATCATGCATTAGCTTTGAAAATGACTGAATACACAAACCTGATGCAAGCGCCAGCCTCATATCCTGCTAGAAGAAATGGAGATTCAAGTCACCTCCTCCTGAAATTGTGTGATAATTCTGTTAGAGGCATCCAGGATTTCAGAACAAGCACCAAAACAAAGGCTGGAATTCCTACATGAATGAGCAGAGCACCTGCACTGCGCCCTGAAGAACCACTGGGAATAAACCACTCTCATTTCCAGCAGAGGAATCTCTAACTCACTCAGCTGACACCGGGGTGCTGAATGCCTGCAGGGATGGGGCAGCGTAGCTCTGGGCAGCACTGCCAGGGCCTCACCACCCTCTTAATGAAGGATTTCTTCCTCACACCTAATCTAAGCACATCCTTTTTAATATCAAGCCATCACCCCTTGTCCTTCCTTTATCACCCATAAAACACCAGGGCGTTCTCTTTATCCACCAAAGGAAGCAAGGCAGGATTTGGTTTCCATACAGATGGATCTGCCTCCTGCCGGGTTGACCACAGGCAGTACAAAGTCCAGCTGACAACTGACACTCATAGCAGGATCATCAGCACAGTAGCAGATCAACCAGACCCAGCCCACACGGTGCTGATTGCCCAAGTGATGTTAATCTTCATTAGATAGCTCGATTCCCTTCCCCCAGCCTCAAAACAGCACAGTTATGGAAGCATTAACAACCACGGGAAGGGCCTCGCAGCACAGCACAAAGAAGAAGGATCCATCCTTGCTCAAACGAAACGGCAAGGCTCGCAGGGTTCTCAGTGCGTAAATGGAAACCATGCCGACATACAATTGTTCCACCCCCACGTTCGCCTTCACACATTTCTTACAGGTCAATTTTAAAGAATTAAGTCTTGTTCAGCTAAACATCTGGTGGCTGTTGCTACAGGAAACAGACTATCTGCAACACTTGAGCAAAAATAATGAGTTACGTAAAAGCCAGGCTGCACAAGCAAGAGCAAGTGTTTTGCCAGCTTATGAATTTCAAACGTTACACAAAGCAGTGCTTAATTCTTGGGTTAGAATGCAGTGAAGTTACCCGGTATGCATTACAGCACAAAAATTCAAAAGCAACAAAACCCTTTAGTAGAAGTTTTTACTAAGTTGATGGAAATACAATCGTGCTGCAATTCACCTTCTAGTTAGCAGCTGTCCCAGAGATGTTCCATGAACAGCACTGCTAGGAACAGCTGAACTGTGGCTCAAGAGAGGACCAGTTCAGCTCCAGGCGTTTCAAGACTCAGATTAAGTCTGATTAAGTAAATCCCAGAAGAGTTAAAAATAAAGGTAGTTTTGGTCATTAAAAATTTAAGATAGGCTGCCTCCGTACATAGCAGAATACTCCACCTGCACCACGTCTTTTTGGTCACTGCTCCTTTTTCCTCCGGGTTTATCAGCTCCTGCACCCAGCACCCAACAGCTCAACTGCACACTGCTCAACTGCTGGCTCACAGCTGAGAAGGACCCCTAATGGCAGCACTATTCGAGTGCCCAAGACCAACCCGAAGCCTTCCACAATTCCAGACCTTTGGTACAGACCTCACAGATCACAAAGTCCCACAGCAGGAGATGCAGCATTCCTGAGAACATCTCGAGCAGCGTAACTCTCATATACTGGAATTGCACTTCACACGATGTACCTTTCTACAAATAGACACTGCTGTTCTTTGAGGAAAGCTGCACCACTTAAATAATCCAGAAGCTTGATGGATGACTAATGCAACTAGAAAGCTGCTTGTACAGAAGGATATTTTAGCTACCACACATCATCAGGACCACTTCATGTGCAGCCACAGATCAACAGAGGCACCCACAACTTTCACTGCCACCACCCAATCTTGACATCAAGGGTAAGATTTTGGATTCAGCTGGATTTTTGCATGGAGATGTGTGCTCTGCAATCCCCGCCAATGCTCAGACAGCACAGCATGTCCAGCACCACTCCATCACATCCCAGCACGTGCTGGATCTGCTGCTATGCAGAAAAGCACTCACTAAGTAGAGCAGAGATTAAACATTCACAACCCTTTAATCCAGGAACTTCACCATTAACTCAGCTTCTGCTGCTCTTATTCATCCATGCCATCCAGGAAAGTGCTTCTGAAGCCAAACTTCCCAATGGGACGTGGCAGGTTTGCTGAGCACAGTGGGGAAAAGCACGGCAGATTCAGTGGCTGCCCCCTTGGATGGGCTTCATAGCATAGCTGAGCAAGCAGAAGAGCCTGGCACAGGTTCTGCAGGAAGTGGGAAGAAGTCAGGATGCTTCAGGATCCTGAAACAGATCTTACAGATGAAGACACAAGTGTGGTGCTGGCTTGCAGAGGAGCACAGGGGAACGGAATGAAATGGGAAATCTGGAGCTGGTTTAAATGTTGAAGTACACAAAAAGACAAGACAGGATGCAGGAAAGGGACATAATTGTAGGCAGCTTGGGAGCAAGATCGTGGTTGAGGCAAGCAGCACTTCTCAATGTCTTGGAATTGATAAGGCATCAGTTGGAGATGGGGGGGCTGGAGCTTGATGATCCTTGAGGTCCCTTCTAACCCAAGCCATTCTGTGATTCTATGATAAGGAATTTCAGTAATGCATCCTCAACAACTAAAAAACATGCACTTGGGTCATCTCGTGATTTAGCATTCCCACTGCCTAGCAGTCTGTGCTAGAAATCTACATCTCTGTGCCAGTGGTGAAGCAGAAAGCAAGCAAGGGAGGAAGAAGTTAAGCACTGTGAGCAGGGCAGAAGCTTCTCTCAAGTGGAAAAGCACACTATGATCCCAAAGACACGGAAACAGTTGCATCTGATAGAAACCTTCCAAGATCCCAGACTTCATACAGGCAGAGAAGAAGAAAAACAAGGCAGTGACTTGGCAGCAACCTTCCACAACACCACATCACCTAAGCAGGCTGCTTCAGACTCCAGGGGCTTATCTTTAAGACAAAACAATACAAAAAATGTGAAGCAGAGTTAGATGCCTACAGTCTTCTGTTGCACTCATATTAAGAGGTTAAAAGCATCAGTCTGAACTGCTCCAATGAAACACTTTTCACACTATCAACAGCATTCTTACAATTGGCACCAAAAAAACCCAATAAATTACTTTCAAGGAGCAAAACTGCAAAATTACTGGACATACCATATCAAGCAAAATTGAAAACCAATTTCTCCTCCAGTCTGGAAGCTACCAACAGTATCAAACTGCCATCCTTGCATTTGTCTCCTCCACTCTCCTGCTGAAATTACCAGAAGTCAAAGGCTTATAAGGCTGCATACAAAATTTAAAATGCAAATTACAATTTAGGGCATTTGTTTTCTGAAGTCATTCTGTCCAGAAGTAGAAACAGCACTCCAAAAGGATGAGACACAATTAAAAACCCTACACAGAAGCGAATCTGGTACCACCCCTGCAGAACTCCTTACCAACACCCCCAGGAAACGTGTGCCAAGCAGAGAGACCTGCACTGCTGTCTCCAAGTCATTGCCTTCATCCACCCAATGCATTTGCCTCTTAGTTTGGTTTATTTTCATCATTAATGGCTAATGAAAGCGAGGCCTCTGTCCATGCCAAGGCCAAACACACACCTTTGCTCTCCCTTCTCTCTTCAGGAGAGGAAAATTCACAACAGCTTCAGTTTTGAGTTTTCTGCTTGTCCCAGAGGCGAGCACTACCAGAACAGGCAACCCAGCCCATATTCTAGTTGCCATACTGGAACAAATCTCATTTACAGAGCACATCAGCCTGGTACCTCATTACCAAAGTTAAAGCACATTTTGAGAAGCTTCATCTCCTCACAAAAGCTCTGGGACTTATCCTGCCCAGTTTCCTTGCTGCAGACACTCACACTTGGCAGGCAGCATGGCAATTAACCAGTTTTTCAGCTCAACGCTCATGCTTCTAAAAGTGAAGCTAGGGAAAGTAGATCAGAGATGCAAGCTCACAGATACTTCAGGTAAAAAAAAAAAAAAAAAAAAAAAAAAAAAAAAAAAAAAGCTGGCAAAACTGAGAGAATATATTAAAACAGAAACAAGAATGGAACAACTTGCATTTGGTCTCCTGGCATCTCTCCATAGACGCTCCAGATACTTTTTAGGAGCAAAGATAAGGATAGCATGCTGGTACACCCCCGAATTCAAAGCCCCAGGTACTCACCACACGTTTTGTGAGTCACTTCTTGTGTTTGTTATCTGAAATCACAGGGCACTGAGTGCCAGGGCATGGAGCAGCACAGCAACTAGCCAGTCATCTCTGTAGGGAAACTGGAAGGCAAGAGAAAGTTGAAATGTAACACTGAAACTAAACGTAACAGCTAAAACTAGAACACCAGCTTCCAAGCATGCCGGCAGACAAATCACTTGTAGAAAACCTCTACTATTTCTACTTACTCCCCGTCTCAGCAAACAAACAGCTTTCTGTGCTATGAATGTACTTCAGCAACAGGGTTTTCTTCAACTACAGATGTTTTTTGTCTCTCTGGGAAACAGCATTTCCCCACCTTGGAAAACAGGTTCCCAAATCACGAGGCAGCACCCCTGGGCTGGCTGTGTGTCCTGCCATGCCCCAGGTGCTGTGGTCAGAAGGAAGCACATGGGGTTTGTTTTGTTTGCACCTTTTTCCTCACGCAACACCCTTCAGAGCACACAGCCTCTGCGACAGGGATATGAAGGATGAACTAAAATGAAACTGTTTCACAGCATTTCTTGAAAGCTCTGCTCTGAATGAGCAGATACAGGCTGTTCTGTCCTGCACACAAAGCAGAGGCATCCAGCTTCCTTAGCAGAAAAGGCATGGACTGTTCCCACAAAAGTCATTAAAAAAAAAAATAACTTCAAGTTGTGAAAAAGCGGACAGCCATGTACAAGAGGGGTTCCCACATGTGCTGCTTTGCACTGGGCTATGAGCAACCAGCTCCCATATGCACAGGGGTGTGCAGAGCTTGCACTTCTAGCTGCGTTTTCGCAGCTACTAAAGCAGGGGTAGAAGATTAAGGGTCCATACTCTCTCCAATAGCTTGTTCTGTAACTACTGACCCCTCTATGCCAGCCACAGCAGAAGATGCCCATCACTTGCCCCAGCACATCAGCCAGGAGAGCATTTTTGCTGTCCCCAGTGTGAAGAACAAATACACCAAAGCCATCGCCGAGCGTCCAAGAGGCACCGCTTCGACTCCAGCACACAGGATTTCACTCTGCCTGTACTCCTATAAACTTCTTGTCAGTCCAGCCCAAGTCATACACACGTTCTTCCAGTGTCATTCCTCAACTGTGTACAAGAAGTTATGAGGATTGCTCAGTGGCATTGCACGACTTCAAAAGTCTCACAGCAGGCACCATTATTAATCCTCACCACAATTACCTGTACCCATTGTGAATGAAGCCAGGCACCTGCCCCACAGCTTCAGCACTCAGCCTTTCCATTCTTCTAATACGAAAAGGCATTGGGTTGAATGTGCCTCCTAATATTATGCTTATTAGGAAGCACTTAAGGCAAACTTCAGTTCTACCCTGTGCTCAAGTTTTAAGTGTTTTGACCGGGTCAAACATCACAGCAAGGAAGAACTGGCCGAACTTGTCCCAACCCAAGCCCTACAAGAACTAGAAAATTGTCAATTCTCTGTGTGCAGCGAGAAGGGATTGCAGCTTCATTGGGTCACCTGGGTAAAGGGTAGCAGCATCCCGTTCATGAAGCAGTCCCTGTATTTCAATACTGAGCACAAGGGGAAGCTTACTTTTCTGCCACCTTGAACATGCTCTAGTTACACTTCAGAGGAAGGCAGGAACACACACACGAATTCCTATCAGGGATCCCTGACCAAAGACTGACTTGGCATCTTCAACTTCATACCAACTTTCATTAAGAACTGGCACCTCCCAACAAGGAAGCTGGGCTATTCCTAGAGTAAACAGATTATTTCACGCTCTGCTAAACTAGAGGTTAGCTATTATTCATGTTCTGCTGGAAGAACAACATTGGCAAGAACGGAGGAGTCAAAGTATCACACAAGAAAATCCCCAGTGTATCTCCACAACTTCCTGCTGGCAAAGGCCAATCCCAAAAACCCATCCTCACCTCACGCGGGCCATTTGCAACCAGACCTTTCAACCTTCAGCTCAGCAAACACCGCTGCTCCCAGCCCCACGTAGCAGCACCTCACAGACGCACTCAGCCTCAAGAGCAACCCGAGCTCACAAGGCAGAGCCGTTGTCTGACCCGGCAGCAGGCTGATGGTGCTGGGCTGCTCACCCAGAAACCCCATCTGGCAGCAAGATTGCTCCGGCAAAGCAGAGAAACCCGAAGTAAGGGGAGGACCCTGCATGATTCAGCACGTGGCAGATCTGGACTAGAAGCCAGGAGCCGTGCTTGGCATGGCATGAAATAGCCACCTCTATAGCAATGGTCACAAGTGAGAATATGTGGTCAGCCCGGTTGGAGCACAAGTTATTGTGGTAGCCATGTTCAGAAAGCCTCAAATTATGCAGAACACAGTGCAGCGCACCTCTTCCGCTACTGAAAGAAGGAATGAGGATGAAAGAGGCTGTCCTAAGCCACAAGCCCCTTCCAGCTTTTGACAGGCAATTAAGCCTTTGTGTGTTTAATTAGTACCTCCAGACGCTTGGCGAGCTTCCTGTGACATCTCCTCGATGGCACTCGCTGGGCCTGGAGATATACATGCTGAACGCCAAGCCTTGGGCTTACAGGAGCACGCAGGGGGAGCCAGTCCATGAGGATGCCTCAGTTCCCACTGTGCCACCCTCCTCAGGAATATCTCTACTTTAGGGTGCCAGAAATGGAAGGACGGGAATACAGAAGCTTTCAGCCTTGCAAGGTTTTCTTCCCCATTACTTTCCAAGAGAAGTGCAGCTGAGAAGCCAACTTTCCTGTTTTAGGTTCCCAGGCAACATCCCCGAAGGCACCTCAACAATGGACATCTGTATCTTAACACACAGCCAGATCCTTCCTTTCCTCACTTCGTCTTGGGGACCTGCAGCAGTGGGAGCCAAGAGAGATGATTTCAAGAGCCTAGCACTAAAAAATTCAGGGCGTTCTACAGATGCTGCTCAGCTCCCAGAGGACACTGCTTCCATCACAGCATGAAGTGACGCTACAAAACCCTTCCTCACAGGGCTCACAGGTGGTATGCACACAGTTTTGGGATCTTTGTTCTTCACCTCATTATCATTTTATTGACATTTAGCAGCACGAACCTCTGGATAATACTGGAGAAAAAAAAAAAAAGGTTCAAGTTTAATGCACAGAGCAATATTACAATTCCAACCTAATGGATGCTACCCCACTTTGAAGTCTTTGCACCAGCCAGCACTGAAAGAGGGGTCAAAAAGCTGCCACTGGTATTAGATGATGGAACAAACCTTAAGAGCAAGGACAACACATCAGGTTTCAATGGTGAGAAATTGGACTGGTGGCATACAGAGCCATACTTGAGAAATCCCCCATCAGACCTGGAGCAATGCACGTTTGGGTCAGCACATTTTCATTTAAAGTGCTTCACACCCACGTGGAAAAATGAGGTCTCTGCAGATCATTTCTGGTGTGCAGGAAAGTCTTTTCAGGAGACATCAATACTAGTGAGCAGTTTTGGCATAGAAGCCTGCAACACTTCTATTCCAAGTCCAGCATGTCAGCATTCACAAGTTTTGTCTAGAGAAAAGCTTGCCCTCCCTCGAGAAGGCAACATGTTTCAACCAACAGATACACATAAGCTATCTTGAGGAACACACCATGCTCTGGTTGGATTTTTTGCTTGTTTTTAAACCACCACTCAGGACTTCATTCTCTCCCACCACAGCCCTTTAACCAAAGCTACTGAGACAACTAAGAGCAGTAAAGACAAACTCTCTGAACACGAGGAGTTTCAAAACTCCGGGGTGGTCACGTTCCTAACCTTCAGCAACCAGAGGAGAGCTAGCAGCAGATACCCAGGAAAGGGAAAGAAAAGGAAAAGAAGAGGAAAAGCAGATGTAGCTCCTTCAGCTTTTATTCCTGGGTCTTCCCAAGCTAGTGTGGGCTTTTGGCCATTCAGCAGTGCTCAGCACAGCCTTCTCTTGGGCTTGCCCAGCTTCTCTGACCTTGCAGAAGCCTTTGGTGGCCCCAGCAGCCCTACTCCACCTCAACAGCTCTGCTCCTGATCCCACCTGCAGTTAGCTCCAGCTGAAGCTCCCTCCTCCCACCTCCAGCCCTGAGCACCTCATTGCCGTGACCTGAGCTAAGCCAGCACTGCCCTTTAAGCTGAGTAAAGATAACCAGTTCTTGTCAGAAGGGAAACCAAAGGACTCAATTTGATTGCAGAGAACAAATAAGTAAGAGTCAAGGAATAAACATGCACTGCTATTTGCTAGTTACCAGTAGATATTAAAGCTATGCCTCGTAGCTGTAACAGCAGAAGAGACCCAGACTACGCACTGAGGCCATCTGCCCTTGAAACACAGAAAGCAGCTGCATCAGAAAGAAAAGCCTTACCTTGCCAGGTAATTTGCAAGTTTTTCACCGGGAACAAACACTTACCAGCGATACCTGGAGGAGAGCTGGGCACACAGCTCAATGCCTTCACGACTGTGCTTGCAGCAGAGCTCCTCTGCACATTCAGTAATTTGCAAATTCCTCTCTGAATACACCCCAAAGCTGACATCTACATTTATTCTGCCCAACTGGAGAATAAAAACTCAGCTTTTATTCTGCACTGTATACTTGGGCAGCACTCAGAACAGTATTTATCGTCTGACACCTATGTAAAAGTAAGTAAAAAACCCCACACTGCTGCTTGCAGAGCTTTGTAAAAACCCTTTAACATCTTTCAATTCCCTTAACTCACATGAGTAGCCCACACACTGCACATGTGGCAGAGTACAGCAAGTGGGTCTCCATTGCAGCCTTCCCTTTACAAAAGCAGAAGAGCAACCAGAACTTTGTGCTCTACACAGAGCCTGCAGAAAGCAAAGCCTGCACACATTCCTACCAGCCTGTGCAAAAGGAAACCAGTGTTTAGCTAGCAGCAAGGTGCTGAAGGCTCCAAAACCAACACCAACAGTCTTTGCAACGAAAGGGAACATAACGATGCCTTGAATGAGACGACCCAAAAAGCTAGAGAAAACACGTGGACACGTTCAGATAGTCCTACTTATGGCACACAAATACAACAAAATAAAATTCTTCAAACCCTGAGTCATTCAGAACAGCCCTGCTTCTCCTACATTTCATTAGGCAAGGTTTTCACCACACGTGCCCACAGGGTGTTCTCAAA